ACAGGTAACTAGAGCTCTTAAACTGGAAAAAAATTAACAAATTTTTTGACTAAATTATATCCCGATTGTAAAATATGGATTATCTTTAATAGTTTACATCAAAATATGATTACTAGGGATCCTATTAAACAGACTCCTGAGCAGTTAAGAAATAGATTACGATAGGAATGAATTTAGAGTATCAATGAAAACGAGAGGAATACAAACCTGATAAGAGGGATGGGCTTGGAAACGATCTCTAATCTCCTCCCAGGGACTATTCACACGAACAGGCGGATCGGATGCAGCTCGAAGCATGTCACAGAACGCCTGCTCTAATCTCTTCAATCGTCTGGCGTCTTCACGCTGGCGTTCGCGTTCTCGACCGCGGGCCTTTTCTATTAAGCTTTCATAGGTTAGTCGAGCATTACCGAAGTCAATTCCTTCACTTCGCAAGTCAGATTGAATAATCTAGGAGGAGAAACAGATAAAACAACCGCAGGCATATTGATTACAGTCCTAAATGATTAAAAGAACTTTTATGAACATGATTCGTTTGGATGACTTTAGATGATGGAGCCCAATAAAGTGATTGCATTTTACTCAACTTTGCCTCCTAAAAGGCTCAATCGTCTAGGATAGCCTCAGTTTCTGTCTCAAGTGGATCTCATCATCCTGAACATGATTCGGAGCCGGGTCGTACCCATAAATCTATTTTAGGGCCGATCTGAAACGCTGATTAGGCCAAGGTGATGCCAAAACTGAAACCAATCCAGGAGGAACGGTTAGATGAAAGTATAATGCTTATTAGGATTAGCATGTTGCAAGTGAATGCAGGGATGGAAAAGGAGTCACTCAATTCAATTTGTGGATATCCAAATAATACTCATCGCACGGCACGATTTTCAGCAACAGCATATAATCTGCATAATTTTTTCGAATATATTATTAATCTCTTTTAAACTGCAATCATATGGTAACACTTAGCATTAAGCCGAGATTAGACTTAAATATGCCCTGATATGTGAATGAAAATTGAATAAATTAAAGCAAAAAAAATCAAGTATACCTTATAGCTGATGCGGAACCGATTGGTTTTTCTTGGAATGCCACACATGAAAATATTGATTAATTACAGTAAAAAGATCGAAAATTTTAAGCTTGTATTCTGGAAATGAGTAGGGAATGTTTGGTAGGGGCGTTGCTAGCAAACGTCAATTGGTGATAACCAAAATAAACTTTAAAATCCGATAACCACATAATAATCTATAGCAATTTAAGTGATATAATTTAATTATTCAAAGAATTAGGTATTAATGAACAATGCATGCTTACCTCCATGAAGTTATCAAAACTGGTGGACAATTCTACAGTGATTCCACGGTCTTTAAGAATCTCTTTAATAATTTTTTTTTCAGCAGGAAGACGGGCCTTAAGCGACTCAACGTAAAATTTGAATAGATCTAGAGGGGTAGAACCGCGTTGAGCAAGCATTTTATCGAAACGCTCATCCCTAAAAGGATAAATAGATAGGCCCAATAATACAGTACATTTGGGGGAAAGTATTCATAATTTTATTAAGAAAATCGCCGGACTAATCTATCAATAGTAAATATAACTGATAAAACAAGGAATCGCGCACACGGAAAAATACAACTAAGTTCATATAATTAGATAAGTCGTAAATTTGTTGATAGTATTAATTTATTAATATACATGGCGAGACGAGTTTATGAGAATAAGATAAATTACCGATTGATGACGTAGAACAAATCTTTCCATAGAGAAATAGATGTCAACTTTTGGTGCTTATGAAGTTCATTCAACAATACAAGGAATGCCTCCCGATGTTTCCTTTGCAACCTCTTCTGTCGACGTCGCTCACGTTCCTTTTCTTCGTCATGTTCTTGCTCCAATAGCCGAATATGCTCTTCGAAGCATATGAGAGCATCTTCTTTGTCTAAAGACTGAAGCTCAGCATCAGATGTAAATCTGCAGATACAAAGAGTGTAATAAAGTAAGTACATTAAATGGATAGCAATGTCTAAACGAACTTAGTATTCTCAAGAAGAAGCTGTTGTGCCTCGCTCCATGTTGTTTGATATGTAAGATCAGGCATAGTCTCAAGGATCTCCTTAAAAACGACAATGTTACGCTTTCTTAAAGATTTTGCCTCTTCTTTTTCACGCTTTGCAACCTCTTGAACGACGTCCTCATAAATCTCACGCTTGTCGCGCTCGGGAACCGCAGCCCACTCGGACGCATCAGATAACAAATTGTTTATTTTCATGTATGATAGAGTTGAATGTATTTTAGGACATTGAAGTAAAAATTTTTCCAAATCCTCTTTAGCCTTTTTTGCCTTCAATCTTTGTTCTTCTCGTTCTTCTTTTTGCTTTTGAGTTTTATAAACATTGAATATCTGCTTCTTTTCACTAAATGTTCTAAGAACAGCGTATCTGGGATCATCTGATATAAGCCTTAATGCTTGTTCCCAGGTTGAATTTCCTGGGATATTTTTATCTCTGAATAGAGTGCGCAAGCCCTCCGCCATTTCACCCCGTGTTTTATATTCGGGCACTTTATTTTCCTCCAAGACCTGACCTTCCTCCTCCTCTTCTTCGTCTTCGTCCTCTTTGGATGAGGCGACAGGCTCATTCAAGGGTAGCGGAATCTGGGTTGAATCCTGGGATTGCGATTCAGCTTCAATTGATGCAAGGGTAGCCTTCATTGCAAGTTCTATTTCGGAAGGCTCAGAAGGTCTAGCTGATGTGTCCTTTGGCGTTAATGGTGTAATCGGCGCAGTTATATTGTATTTTGCAGGCGCAGAGACTACTGTGAGAGTGTTATTCAATTCGGCAGCCTTATTTTCGGCATCAGCAAGTTCGTGAGGTTTGACCCAAATTGATTGCTTAGTTATGGTGTTATAGAAGTAGGTTCTCCCGTTTTCCGATTTAAATTCTTTCCAAGGACATGCATCAAGTATCTTTTCTGAGGCTGTCTTTAACTCTTCTGGCTTTTCCCAGCTTGTCTGCTTTGTTGAATTATTATAGTAATATTTCCTCCCATCTTGGGCAGTGTGCTCGACCCAGTGATTATCGAGGGCAAGAGTAGATATAGGGGTTGACGGGGGAATAGGAGCTGCTATGTATGAAGGAGGCATATATGCATGAACAGGGTAAAAAGGCGGATAACCAGCCATGGGGAAGGACACTTAAGACGAGGGTTACAATAGCCTCCGCCGGTATAAACAAGTAAAAAACAAACATTTAGCTATATACTCATTGTAATTTATTAAATGTAATATTATAGTATAAATTTGTTGATTTGTTTATATACATTTAGAAAAAAAATACTACTAAAATAGATATTATGATGTTGAGAAGCTTTTTTATCTTAGCATCGACTTTTTCGGAATGAAGCGGCGCAAGCAAGTCAGAGAGCTCACTGAAAATGAACGTAGCCTCGTTATTTCCGTACGTCATTGTGCCCGAGAGCTCGATGATATTCTGCAAGGATCCAGGAGAAAGATGCAATCTGATTTAAGACTTTTTTCTGAATTAGGTATATCTACCATGTTTAGAGGAGTCGATTCCTATGCTGATATGTATGAAAAGCTTAACCTTAGGTCCCGTGAGGCCCTAAACAACCTTCTGGAGAAGTCTAAAGATGCAGAAGAAATTCAAGATACCATTGATGCAATCGAAGAAACAGAAGGTTATTGGAATACGTTTCTGTCTAATTTGGATCGTGAGACCATCGCACCATCAGCACATGAGAACTCCCTACACAACAGTGCAAGTGAAAGTGACAATGAGGAAAAAAGTTTCCAGGACGTCCACCGAACCTTTCAAACAGAAGGCGAGTTTTTTAATGCGTCAGAAATACTACTTTGCGATCTCCAAACATTTACTGAAGTAACTGTTCATGATCTCGTGAGAAAGCATGCCAGCATCATGTTTATCTGTCAGCCTGCCTACCTACCAGACACAGTAATCAGATGGCGTTATGCAGAAGTCAACAAAGTTAAGGTGATTGTGCCCTATAAATTCAATTTTTATGACAATTACTTCTTAATGCACTTCGCCATATACCCCATATTTTCCAAATGCTATATACTTGGGATCTAAAGTGTTTCGTAATTCGTACCTATAAATTTCTGAGGAAATTTTCTTTT